AAATAATTTTTTAATTATTTTTTAGCTGCCACAGATAAGTTCATTTCTGCATAAAAGAAGTGTTTTAATACTTGATATGAGCGAAACTGATCTTAATTTTCATTAAAATTATTATTTATGTTTTATACGTCTTGAATGTCTGCATTAGTAATAGTTCGAGTTGTCAAAGACATTGATTACTTAAAAGGGATTAGCTTTCCTTTCTATATCTTTTGTGATATTGGTCTCATTCATATAGACTGGTAGCATTTACTGCGAGATCAAGTTTTTTGGGATCATTGGCAATTTTAGCCTTTTATGTGAATGTAATTAAAAGTCATGGTACATACGTAATGCATATATGTAAATATCACAGAAACAAGTGTTAGACATTTATTTTAGAGCCTGTTATTTCAAGTAAACTAAAAAGCAGGGATAATTAAGAAAATTAACATATGAAAGTCAGTTGCAAAGGGTGTATAATTAATAGATCGGATGGAGTATTTAAAAAATCGTTCCTGTAAATAATAGTTGTTCTTTTGTTTTGCTGTTACTCACATTATTGTCTAAGCTAGCTTATGTGTCATTTCTTTTGTTATTAAATAAAGTTTATTTTCGAGCAATAATAATAATCCAAGATTATTCAAGGCATATAATTAGTCTATATTTTTTTTTAACTTATGCACCCGGAATTTTTAAACTTGCAATGCTATACTTATTCATGACGGTTAAGCGTGAGTCCCTAAAACCTTCTACAATATTATCAGATACCTTGTTTGAGATAGATGATCATCTTACGTTCCAAGACCTTTTACAACAAGCTGATGTTGAATATGAAAGTAATGAGATAGTGAAAGTTGAAATTCGCTGTGTAGGAAATAAACAGTATAATACTGTTGCATCAGGAGTTAAAAGTAGTTTAATATTATGTCGAAAGGATGAAAGAAATGTATCACATATACGATTTACAATTAAAGATGGATCTATTCAATCAACTAGTTCTAGTAATCAATTAGATGCATTTAATATTATTATGGAGCGGTCTACACAACGTTCTCTTCCTCCACTAAAATCTAGCAATTCTAAACGTGATAAATTATATAATGATATTCTTAGCAAACTAAAAGATAAAGATTGTGGATGGTTAGATGGAAAAGAAATTACTATAGGTAAACAATTTGTAGAAAGTCTTACAGCTTTGCTTTGGGAACTTGATGAGCATCATCAGAAATTACATGATCGAGGTTGTCAAATTCCTGAAATTTTTTTAACTTTACATGGTTATCAAAACAAGCAATATTATAAAAAAGAATCTCATCACAAAAAAGGAATTTTGCAACGCTCTAAACTTGAATTGTTAGTGGAGGCTGTTGAAAAGTGTATAACTCAACCTTGGGCAGGAAGCGAATCTTGGAATGAATTTATAAATGAAGTTTTTATGTTAATTTCATGTGTTCAAAAATATATCTTATATCTTGAACATGTTAGTAATAGTGTTAATACAATTCGTAATGCTGTAGAACCTGCACGTAATCCAGTAGATAATAGTAATATTGAGATTCGAATAGAATGTTTTAGACAAAATCTTAAAGAATGTTATAAGTTGCTAGCTACAAAAATGCACGATGTAAATGACTATGAGGTTGTTTTACTTGATGAATATTTGCCAGTAAATAAATATGAATGACATACCTTTATTCAAAATTTACAATTAGATACAACAATTATACTTTATCGGTACTATCATGGCAACTATCTTGGAACTTTAAATTTTGTATGGCGTGTTCCTCTTGATCCTGATTTAAGGTCAGATAACTTACAGGCAAAAACAATAATTGAAATTCAAGAAAAACTTCCACATTATTTTACACGGGAAATGAAAAAAAATATATTTGAAAAAGTATTATTATATTTAATAATTTTTTAAATTAATTTATTTAAATTAAATTATTTTAAATTAAAATTCTATTTTATTTATAGTATTCGCTTTTAACTCGGATTACTCCATATGTTTTACGATTATTATATTGTGATTTAACTGGTGACTCAAGTACAGGTGTAACTGAAAAAATAAAGCAAATAGACGAAAGACTTAAACTTATATTAGAATTAGGTGATCCAGAAATTCTTGTTGATCTTTGAATTAATAATGGTTTTAAAGGTACAAAGTTTGATATATTCTGGAAAGAAGTTGCAGAGTATTTTGAAGAGGTTTGTTATTAATATTCTAATTATAAATTTTATAAACTATTTAACTAATTTATAACTTTAAATATAACATATACTAGAACATACCTGCAGTTCAAGATCGACGTCACGGAATTACACTTTATATGCCACTTTTTATATCTATTCGAGACTTAAAAGATATTATAGTATCAAAATTAGAACAAAAACAAGATAATAATATAATTGAAGATTTTTTAGTTCCATCTGAACAATGGATTTCTTTACAATTTTATCCAAAAAATCCATGGGCAAAATCTAGTATAAATTATGTTGGTCAGTTTGAAATTAAATATAAAGTTCAAACATGACAACTTCGAAAATCACATCCTGATGTTTACTATTGTCGTGCTATATTTAAATATCTTCGTCATTTTGCAGTAAAGTTTAGAGAATATACTGCATTAATATTTGCTGATGATAAGCATAAAGTACCTATCGGTGAAGATATTGCAACATCAACTGGAGTTAGAAATAAACATGTAGCTATACCTATTTCAGCTACATTAAATGCAAGTGATCATGACTTTACAAAGTTATCTTTAACACCATCAGTAATATTATTAGTTACAATACCTGAAGAACCAACAGATTCATTTTATAATGGGCAAGTTGTTGTATCATATAAAGATACAATTTTTCAACCTAGTTCAGGTCTTCGACATAGCAATGAATTTTATAATAATTTGAATCAATTATATGATAATATTCTACCTGAAATTTTATTAGTTTATACAGATGGTGGGCCAGATCACAGATGTACTTTTGGTTCAGTTCAAATTTCTTTAATATGTCTTTTTCTTAAGGGTAATTTTGATATGTTAATAGCTGCTAGAACTGCTCCATATCATAGTTGGGCAAATCCTGCAGAAAGAATTATTAATCTTGCATTACAAGATGTAGCTTTGCAACGTAATCAAATGAGTGAAACTTCTGAATTAAAGTTTGCTCAACTTAAAACTTTAGAATCAATTCGCTATGAAGCAGAAAATAATTTAGAATTAAAAAGAGAGTTAATTGCATCAATTGAAGATGTTCAAAAAATTTTAAATGAAAGAACAAAAAGATTAAAGCTTCATGACAATTATTTTCTTATTGGTCAAACTGCTACAGATTTAGAAATTGAGCAATTTTTTGAGGTATATACACATGTACATATATATGTATAACAATAATTTTAGTTATTTTACTAATAAGATATTTAATAGATACACATGCAATACATATAATATTTTTGTATAAATTATTAATAAAATATTATACATATTATGTAATACGTATCTATTAAGTAATCTATTTGTAAAATGATTGTTAGTAAAGCAATATAAAACTTTTTTTATTTTTAATAATTAAAAATATAACATTTAATAATATATTATTTAGACAATCTATACGATCGATCCATGTCTTGAAAGAACAATGACAACTTCAAATTTATTAAAAAGACAACAACTATATAATAATTTTTTAAAATCTCATTGTCAAGTTCGAACTTATACATTTCAAATTAAAAAATGTACTAATATCAAATGTGGAATATGCCAACCAATTCGAATGCCACTTGATGAGTTTGAAAATTTATGTTTTTTACCTGATCCTGAACTTTCTGCTGGTAAAATCTTATATAAATAAAATTTAGTAAATTTTGTTTTAATTAATTCATTTTTAAAAAAATACTCTATTATATAGATAAAGAACATTATAAAGACTTTAATAGTGTATATGGGCAATTAACAAATGAAAGATATCGATTATCACAACAAGAAGTTACAAATGAAGAGTCTCAAACTGGTATATTTGTAAATAACAAAATTCGACTTTTAGTTTGCTGTGATTTTTGTGGAAAGTATCGCTGCATTTACTGTAATACATGTTTAAATGAAGATGATTCCAAAATGATCATACAATACCTTGAAAATATCTCATACAGTTGTGGGTCTCCAATTCTTCCAGATGAGCATCCACTTTTTGACCAACTTTATATACGTCAAAATCTTACATGTGATTCACCTATTGAGCGAAATTATTATTCATGTCGTATAAAGGATGTTGATTTATGCTACTGGTGTGGAGCGGAAGATGGTATTATTGATCCTTCTGAGGAATTAAAATCTCAATTTAAAACTATTTACCCGCTTTGCATTTCATGTGAGGCTAATGGCTGTGAATGGTCTACTCGTGCTCCAATTGTATTTCAAAGTAAAACCAAAAAAGTTCGTACTAGTTAAACTATATATTAAAGTATATTGTAGTGTTGCAAAATTAATGAGAAAAGATGTATTTCATGAAATAAGTTAAAAATAATTCTTATTTTTAATTTTGAAACTTATCTATTACAATAAAATTTAGTAAATTTAGTATTTACTTTGAGTTAAATGGAAATTTATAATCATGTTCATTTTTTCTGTTCGTTTAAATTATCCCCCCCCCCCCTCGTCTCTGAACTTAAAATATTGACGTTAACCAACTAATTAACTTTGAACGGCCTTATGGTGAAATTATTTGAAAAGAGCGAAAAATTGGATCTGAATCTGAGATTCAAGCTCTAAAAAAAAAAAAAAAGGTTAGTGGTTTGCTATTAGTTTTTGCGTTTCATTTAGTTTTCGCAACATCGTAGTTACCTT